TGGATTTTGAGGCACCCAGGTCATTAAGAGAAGTAAAGGTATGTTCACCTCTTAGATACCATCTTATTCTGTAACACTATTAGCTTACTAAGTATAACAGCAAGTGTTCTTTAAAGGTAAATGTATGCTAGGCTATGTATGGACAAGCAATAAACCTTGCTGCCCCTCTAAAAAGTGATTCTCAGTGACTCGATTTTCAGTGGCATTTGACAGGCAGTGAAGAGGCAACATGTCACCTCCTCTCCACCTGTTTTACCCTGTAAATGCTGCATCACTGTGCTGCAACTGCATGCATTACATGTGGCTGCAGGAGAGTTATGGCCCTGCCCCATTCATTTGAATGGGCCACGTGTAAAGGCAGTACTGCCCGCCTAACGTGCCAGGGATAATTTTGAAGCGCCATGTGTACATCCCTGTCTGACTGCCTTTGCATCTTAAGGGGGGCAAGTGTAAACAATCCTTTTTATTTGTTTTTTGGTTTTTTTTTCAACTTTTTAGATGTATAGTTTTATAAATATATGTGTACATAGAGATGGCCATATAGTAATAATTCAAAATGTGTTCTCAGAGTTCATAAAAAACAGAACTCACTGCAGTTCCCATGCAGGATAGAACCTAAACTGGTTGGATTTTAACAAAAGTTCCTGTAAACCTAAAGTCTATTTTTCAGTATGTTTGCACCATATCACACTTCATACAGTTTTCTTAAGCAAATAACTTCAGATGAACCTCTTACAAAGCTTTTTACCTGGAAATCCTACCAGTAACAGTGCTTTTTGTTGCACACTGACAACGTGAAGCCATTGCTGTATAGTTGTCAGCCTACCGTGTGCACTGCAGTTGGCTGTTTACCCTCCTATCAGATTAATAAACCAGAAAAATCTGGCCTAGCTGACCTAGTTGTGCCCATTTACATATAATTTCTTCCAATTCAACCACTATAAGCCAAATCTAGAAATGGACATCTGGGGGTTTATTTACTAAAGCTGGAGAGTCCAAAATCAGACTCCCTTCTGCATAGAAACCAATCAGCTTCTAACCTCAGCTTGTTCAATGAAGCTTTGGCAATGAAACCTGGAAGCTGATTGGTTTCTATGCAGACGTGAGTCTGATTTTGCACTCTCCAGCTTTAGTAAATAAACCCCCTGATGTCTGTGGACATGTTTAGATGCCCAATTTTAGATTGAAGTGATTCTAAAGGAAACATTAAAAAAATGTTATATTTACCTGCTCTGTGCAATGGTTTTGCACAGATTGTCCCCAATCCTCTTCTTTTTTGGGTCTCCCGCCAGAGGTCTGGCCCCCCCACCAGGTACCCCCAATAGCAAGCCTCTTGCTATGGGGGCACTTGAGCAGGCTCGCTCCTGACCTGCGCTCTGTGTGGCTTGGCCCTGCCCCCTACTCTCTCCTCACTGGCTGTGATTGACAGCAGCAGGAGCCAATTGATCCTGCTGCTGTTTGAGTCAGAGGAGAGAGAGCTGGAGAGCCACTGCTCTCAAGCTCATTATTGGATCGAGATCGGGCTCAGGGAAGTATAAGGGAGGCTGAGGGGAGCTTCACCCAGAAGTTTTTTGGTTTTTTTTTTTCCCTTAATGTATAGAATTAACCTTGAGCCTTTAGAACCACTTTACATCCCAATTTTTTGATCAATTTTATTCTGTCATGACAGAGCATGCATCCGGGTTTAGGTTCCTGTTCTCATACACCATACAAGAAGAGACTGTTGGATCCAAGCACCAGTAAGCTGAATCTTTATGAATAAACCAAATCACCCTGAAAATCTATCTTTATGACTACTATATTATTACCATATAACAACCCCAATAGAGCATGATGGGAGATTATGCTTTGTCTACACAAACCTGGACAGAATGTGGTAGGTCTGTCAGCTTTTTATTAATGACTTTGTCTCATCAGATAAATCTTTCCCTCACTTCCTGTCTTATTGATGGTGGTCACTGAGACCAAGAGGGACAAATACAGCAATACAAAAAACTGGTCAAACTGGTGGCTCTCCAGCTGTTCAGAACCTACAAGTCCCATCATGCTTCTACCTTTGGGAGTCATGCTTGTAACTGTCAATCTTGCAATGCCTCATGGGACTTGTAGTTTGGCAACAGCTGGAGGGCTGTCAGTTTGACACCTGTGTAGTAGAGTAAACAAGGGTTAGAATATATTGTCTGTATCCTGCTGACAGTGGACACTGAGCAATGAAAACGTGACCCAGGTTTTAACCCTTTCCGCTTTGTCCAGATCTACAAACCTAAAATTTGGCTGGAGCTCCTCTATAAAACATCATTTGGTGTTCACATTCTGCTTTGAAGAGTATTCAGAACATAACCTTCAGAGTACCTGAAGAGATGGAAAAATATTTCCAGCTTTCATTTATTATATGTATAAATTACTATCAGACTGGGCTCCCTGTGAGATACATTTGGCTGCATTTGGACATTATCAAGGTCTACTTAATTATGTTAATGGACATGGACGTTCCTTCCCAGATGACTATATAGTTGGAACTTACTCTAGTAATTATATTTTAATGAGCGTCCTTCTTTTTAATACCATTACAAGCCTAGCATCATTAATGTGTTTAGAAATGGTTTATGAAATATCATCACCACATGAGGCTACTTTGCCTCCTTAACTTATTAAAATGAGATTGCAATTGCTTGGAAATAAACACATAATGTCCTTTTATTTATGCCCTGCTCAGTTAGTAAAATCTGCTGGGTATGGTATGCTTTCAGTCTTCATTTCCAGCTTCCTTTTAATATTCATTTAAATATGGATTTCTCCTTTTAAAAGATGTACAGTTGTGATTAGAAGAACATACAAGGTTTCTAGAAATGTCCTGTGGATTATTGATCTACTTTCCTACCCCATCAGCATTTTGCCAGATACTGTATTTGTAGAAAGTCCTTAATGCTGCCTGACTTGCCTAGTGTTGGCCCAACAATCCTGCCCTCCCAACCCTGCTTTGCAGCCCAGCACGTTTTGTGTTTGGCCGTAAGTAGAACATACTGTGTATATATAGAGCCCAGACTTATTTGTGTGTTTTAATTTGGAATGGAGTAGGGAAGAATTAAAACATCTGCCTGTTTTCTTGCCATGTGTCTCAGTTCCTTCCCAATGGACCTGTTAGGAAATGAAAGAAAACGGTCTTCATCTGGGGGAAATCCACTGTCAGACAGTGATCACTGGAACATGCATCCTTATTGGAAGATTTCCCATGTATTTCTGTTCCAAAGACAACTCCAAAATGTTGGATTTCTCATCATTTTCAGTCTTCTTGACAGTGGTCACCCCAGAGGAGACACAGGTAAAAAAAAAAAAGCAGCTTTCCTCAACTATTTTATCCCAGAAGTACCTTGAAATAATTTTAGGTCTTAGGGAGTCCTTATCAAAATGCATTTATTAGAGGTCAATGAGGAGAAAATCTTACACTGGGTGTCAGTGGAAAGACCGTCCCTTACATTTGTGGTCACTAGGAAGAATGTTCCTTACAATGGTGGTCAGTGGGGAAAAATGCCCTTTACATTTGTGATCAGTGAGAAGAATGTCCCTTATGGTGGTGGACAGAATGCCACCCTTAAAGTGATTCTAAAGGTTGCAATTAAAATAAAACATAAATCTTATACTTCTCTGCTCTGTACAATGATTTTTCACAAAGCAGCCCCAAACCTCTTCTTTTTTGGCCCCCTGCTGGTGATCCTTTCTCCTTCCAAGTGACCCCAATAGCAAGCCTCTTGTTATGGCGGTACTTGAACAGGCTCGCTCCTGACCCATGCTCCTGTGAATGGACATTGTTTCCTCATTGACTCACTGGCTGTGATTGACAGCAGCCAGAGCCAATGAGGAGAGCAAGATCCCGGAGAACCACTGCTCTCATACACATCGTTGGTTCAAGAGGGGGCTCTGGTAAGTACAAAGGGAGGATGAAGGGGGAGCTGCACCCAAAAGGTTTTTTTACCTTATTGCATAGATTCTATTTGGGTAAAAAAAATCTCCTGCCTTTAGAACCACCTTTAAAGACCGCTAAAACGATCATTGGCATTATAAGGATGGCTCTGCCAAGTTTATTGGAAGCTGGAACTATACGAACACCATCAGATGGGTGTCAGCTAGCCACAGCTTAAGAAACTTGTTGGTTGAAAATAACGGCTTTTAAGTGAATGTACAATCAAGGGTTAGAACTCTTTAGTTTTCAATGTTTGCGTTCCTGCTAGGTGGATTTACTCTCTATTTTCACTAATCTTTACTTACGACCTTTATTACAGTGAAAAAAAAGTAATGGGAAATCCAAAATGTAAGAGATGAAGTTGAACAGGATGTGATGGTAAAACTTTTGGTGGGGGCACCTGATCTAGTGACAAAAAGAGAATTCTGCTTACTTACTAGATATTTCCTCTCACTTCCTGTTGCATCTCAGGGACAGGAATTGAAGATGAATCTTAATGGGACAAAGACCGCAAAAAGTAAATAAACTGATTTATCTTTTCCCTACTTTTCTCCAGAATTAAAAAAAAAAAAAAAAAAAAAGAAAAGAATTTGCTGTGCATGTTGTACATATACTTAGGGCCACTTCACACTGACTTCCGCAAAAATGGATAGAAAATGGAAGTACATTTCCATCTATATTAGTCACGGGCTGACGTCTGTGAGCATACACTTTGACATCCATTTTGAGTTAAAGCATACTGCATTTTTCACAGGATATCCTGTGCAATGCATTGACATCCGCTTACATACATGTTGGATTTGAGCGCAACTCAGGTTGCGTCAGTGTGAATAAGACTTATTGGAAATGTATTGTCTTTCAGTTGTCCTTCCATTGATCTGCATTTTACAGCTGCGCTAAAACGCAGATTAACACACTGGTGTGAGTTGGCCCTTAAACATCCTGCAAAAAGTTGTCTAAAATTTATATGAATGTTAAAATTAAATTTACTGAAAGAATTTTAACTTTGTGTTTTCCCCTTTTTCCTTCTTTATTGCAGTACCATTCGACCATTTACTGTATAGCAACCGCTCTATGGTTTACCTCAGTCTAAAGTCTTATGAACTGGCACTGGATGATGCAGAAACAGCCTGTAAACTGCAACCATATTGGTTAAACGTAAGTATAAATGTTTGAGTGTATATGGTTAGTTACAAAGTGTGCGTAACATACATGCAGTATATGGTTTTGTAAAGTAATGTCGTGCAAAGAGGCGTGGTGATATTCAATTTATAGAAACCCCTGGCAACCAATCAGAATTCAATTCACTACGATTTGATGAGTAGCATGTTAAATTCTGGTTGGTTGCCACTGCTTGCTAATGAACATTTCTTTTTTTTTTTTTTTTTTTTTTTTTATTTATAAAGTGCATGTTACAGTTGCATTATCTACATATGGATCTTTATTCCTTTGTAGGGGCATCTGAGGAAAGCACAAGCATTGACAAACTTGGGAAAAACAGAAGATGCTTTAAAAGAATTTCTTTTCTGTCTGGTACTTGATAGTGAAAATAAAACTGCAAAATCTGAAGCCCAAAAGGTACTATTAACTTATTTTTATGTTGCTCTGTTCCCCGAGCTTGGTACAAGTATTGATGATACATATTCTATATTCTTTCTTACTGTTAACATAATTTTTATATAGATTTTCTGAGAAATGTAGCAGTATGAGTTATATTTAGTCTGACATAAATAACATCATTGTGAACTGATGATGATAACATTCAGTTATATGCAGACCTGAATGGTCATACTAGTCCTATAGATCAGTGTTTCTCAACCTTTCTTCAGTCAATGCACCGTTAGAATTCTGCACAATTGCAAGGCACCCAAGTCTAAAATGTAAAAAAATTAAACCAATCATTTTTACACATCGCAGCAACATCCACACACGTAGCTCACCCAACATTAGAGGTAATTTTATTCCTACAAAGCAAATACACCTTTGCACGCTGGTATTGACTGATATTCCAATGTTTCTCTTCAGTTTTTTCTCCCACGCTCAGTTAATGTGACCCCAGTGCTGACAGGGGCAGGGGAGGGGCAAACAAATATGCTGTGCTAGCAACCAATGCCCTCCTTATCAACTGATGAGATCATTGGTTGTTAGGATGCTGGCGGCTAGAAGGTTGTAATGGTGCACAATGACAACCTGTGACAGGCAGGCTTGATCCAACTGCTGGCTTGTATACAGTTTTTAGGAATGTTGCCAAGGCACCCCTGGAGAAATCTGAGGCACCCAGGTTGAAAAAGGATGCTATAGTGCACTCTCCTTTTTAAAGAAATGTGTAAGTTAAATCATATAAAAATCTAATTGTATTGCCTGTTGTGACTATTGGTATGTTCCAACCTGCCCTGCTCTATCCAAACAAAAAAATTGTTGCTTGAAGTTTGAGATCTAATTTAGAGTAAACTGTTTTCAGGACCTTTTTATTGTCACTTTAAATGTCCACTTAGGAATGTATTTGGCAGTGGTAATGTATTGTACCTGGCACACTACCCAATTGCTTTGTAGATAGTGGCAAATCTAATTAAGAACCTACACTGGGAGCACAGCAGGCAGTTTATACTGTATGTCCCCTTACTTGAGTGTCTAAATACAAAAGATTCTGGGTATATACAATAGGTAAGGAATACTGTATAATACAGTACACGATTATATATCTCGAACAGCCTTGACATTTAACATCACTTTTATTATACCCACAGTTGCTGCTTAACATATTAAGTCCTGGACACAGGCAAGGAGACTTTCCAGATGTTCTTCAAATGATGTCACATCCATCAAGGTTAAAAGGAAGTCTTATAAGCTCAGACCCTGGCATTAATAATCTTGGGTCATACCAGGTAAGAATAATGGGGTATTTTATTTGTAGAATAAGTATGAGAGGAAAATTTTCTTTTGCCCTTAAAGTGACAGATTGAAAATAGAAAGCTGTTTGCAGGTAGAGGTGCTTGCACAGGCCTGTAGCAGCTGTCATTTACATCTTCTACTGACGAATTCACATTCCTATTGGCCCATCACTGTGAGGGGCTTCCCCCTTGTCCAATACGAATGTGTGTGGGGTGGGAGGGAACAGGCTCTCCTCATCACTACAAGAAAGTGCTGGAGCTATAGCCATTTAGAATAAATGCCATTTGACCATAGCAGACGTGAATCAGAACTGTTGCAGGTATGTGCAGGCACCTCCGTTTGCCTGCACTATACCATTGCTAGCAACACTGTGGATTTATTCTGTCTGCATACACTCACTAGATCCTGCTGCATCCCTTCCTGCTTCCATGACCCTGTCCAGTGAGATTGCTTCTGTGGTAGGGAAACAACTTCCATTATTGAAGATGTGCCAAAGAAAGGGATATTAGTGCTGGATGCAGACTATATGAGAATCTCTACGTGGGTGGCCCCATCAGCGATATCCTGTCTGTCAACTTTGATTCATAAATTGAAGGAGCTGGATGGCAATTTGTTGGCTGAACAGCAGCTCCATCCAATCAGATGTGGCTGCTGGTCGGGTATTCAGATGCCAGCTACAGCTGTCAGAATACCGTAGCTGTCTTGGGAGATTCCTCCATCCAGGCTGTATAATGGGGTTCCTGGCATCTGTTAGATAATAGTCGGCTATAACATTAATTGCATTTACAAACGTTGAAAGGCTGATTGTACTGAAGTTGATTTGATGGATCCACTTCAGTACAACCAGCCTGCCCATAGATGGATCCAGTCTTGCCTGGTCCCTGCAAAACTGGCCGAGATATGATCCATCTATGGGCCTGCTTAAGACAGGATATGTGTAAGAGCAGAATAATACAGGTATGAAAACTAGATGCCCCTAAAGCACAATCCCAGAAAAAAACGTAGCACGTTTAAAAGCTACTGCATACAATCTATTAAATGATCTAATATAATGTGTTCTCTTCCTGATCAGCCTAATGTGGAATATAAGAAAAACCTAATTCTTCCTGAGCAAACTATCTCCACTGGATACAACAGTGTGTGGAAATCACTACAGACCTTAGAAAATATAAAGGAAGGCCACAGTAAAGACACCTTGTCCTCAGAGGAATGCCTGAAAACCTCACTGACCTGTAACCCTTTAAAAAGAAAGTTGTGCAAAAATGATACAAGCGAGGTCACAAGTCCAGAGCTGCCCAGCAAATTACCAAAAACAGGTATGAATTTATAACTGCTTGAGTTTACTGGATTTAATTAACGCTGTGAGGAGGAGCAAACCAAACAAGTGAATATTCATTAGACTTTTTCTAGTAGTGGCTGATTTATTTTTCTTTAAAAGCAGAACTAAGGGGATCAATACTCACCTTTCCAATGGTCCCTCCTAGGCCAAAGCATCTTCTCCTTTTCAGCCATCTTCATTGGCTGGCACAGGATGACCTCACTCCTGTGGATGTGCAGGCGCTAGTCATTCTGGCACACAGGGATCAGGCTGTCCGTTGTAAGCTGAGCTGCCAGTTTACATTCCAGAGATTGTTGTGAGCGGGCAGGTAGGTGTACCTTTTTTCAGAAGAGACATTGCATGTCTCTTCTGTAATAAACAGACCTGGCATCACACAGTATATTACAGAGGAACTTTAGATCCTCATTAGGAATAGCTTTTGACCATGCACACTGACCGTATGATAAAAATAATGCATTACTTGTAAAGAATATGTAAATTTCATATTCTTAATATGTGCCTGCTATACCATGTACCTGTACAACACTGTATCCTCTTTGTTGCTTCCTTTGGGTATAATACCTGGTATTCCTGCCAGTCCCTCTGCTTTCCAATTAAAACTGACCATACTAGGCGGGAGAGCACAGTGTGGTCAGTTTTCTGGATGTGCTGGGAGCTAATCCAATGATTAGGCTGTGCTGACACCACCCCCTTCCCCTTGCACAGCAACTCACTGGGAAGATCAGTGGACTCCTGTCTTTCCTTCCCCAGCTCTCTGAGCTGTGTGTGTGTGTGTGTGTGTGTGTGTGTGTGTGTGTGTGTGTTGCAAGGTGAGGGTTTGCATATACTTTAAAATAGAAGGAAAGGATAAACATTTCTCCTAATTGCCCTGCATACAATTTTTAGTATAGCTCCTCTGTGTTATGTGGAGGGCTGACAAAGTGAATAAATTCCACTGTGCACTGATATTGTCCACTGGTGTCCACTGCTCTAGGTGTTGTCAGCGAGACAGCGTTCCCTCCCATTGGTCACATATTTACACAGAGGAGCTACAGCTTTGTGGCCACATGACAGCATAGAAAAACACTGAAGAAACAGTATTCACATTATGATTTATGGTAAAATGTATGCTGGGCAATAAATAGCAATAGCGACGCAACATTTTAAAGTAGATTTAATGCATGCAGTTAACAATTTATTGAAAGTCTTCACTTTTTCTTGGAAGTCAAGCTTGGCCCTTGCCTACCAATTGGTCATTGAGGCTGAGCATCACATTAAAAGACCAGTTAAGTGGGTTTGAATGTAGATGGGAGCAGATTTATTAATTTTTTGGGCAGTTGATGTATAGCAAACTACAGATATGCCAGCTTATTTTTGACATATACCATTTTTAGTAAACTGAAATCATTCAATTCACAACTGCAAGTATTTATTTCATTAAATACCTGGGAACAGATTTACTATGGGTTATTCTGCAAATGGGGCTCAAAACTTTGGATTCTGATACCGCCCAGTTAATGTTCTCTAAATATTGTTCATTAAGGGATATGTTGTCGTTCATTAATGGGTTATATTTATATGTTGTACTTTTTAACTTTTGCAGATGTGTCAGTGGATGAGAGTGCAGATGTGGACTTGCCTGTTTTCTCACCTGTGGATTCATCAGACTTGGAGTGTTCACTCTGCATGAGGTATCACGTCATTTCTCTTGGTTGAATGCTGGCAACACAACCAATCTGTGATTTGTATTTAACTGCAGCTTTTAGAATTAGACTGTTTCTGTATTGGTTAATAGGGGATGTCCTGTATAGCTAAAATGTTCAGGAAATTGGTTTTATTAAGTAAGATAATAGATGCTCAGGGCTAAAGTGTGCTCAGTACATTAACCTTCAGAAACCACCAAATTTAAAATTAAAGAGGCTCTGTCAGAGAGCAGAACACGTGCATTAAAGAAGAACCTCGTGGATTTTTTTTCCAGCCAGTTAAAGCTCAAGCATTACGGTTCTGATGGAAGTAGCCTTTCTTCAACCCACTGATCTCATGATAGTTCTCTGGCAGTGGTTCAGTTACCCCAGGACTAGTATGTAGCACATGAGTTGGGAAATGGCAACTTTTATCTGAGCCCTCTAACAAAGGGGTTTTTATTTCTGACAGAATCCCTTTTAAGATCGTCAAATGATTGAAAAGTAGAACTCTAGCCAAAACATTTTTTTTTTTTTTTTTGCATACAGCAGGGATAGATTAGGATTGGAGAAATTTGCCCTCACTTCCTGTCACAAAAGAAGTGAAGGGAAATCTCTCTAATGTTGAAACAATTGTAGTAGAGTGAGAAAGGGCTAGAACTTCTTATAATGGTTTTTATTGCTGTATGTGCCATCTGCTCCTTTAATGTCAATACACCCTTTTTCTTGTATGGGCCTAACAGAGAAAAGGAATAAATAAAAAACAAAAATTTTAGCTCTTCACTAGTTATCCATACCTAAAAAATAAAACTTAGATGCAATTGGGCTAAGAAATTCCTGATTCCATGCTTTATACTTCTCAAATTTCTTTTTACTCTGCTTTACTGAACACGTTTCAAAGCCTAACATTTTATATAGTCAGTTAGTGCCAGGTGCACGGCTGTCCAGTATTTTATAGAAACTAATTGGATACCAGTTTTTAATAGATAAGTATAATCAAATTAATGGCCAGCATTTGAGTGGTCATTACAGAAAAATGCACTTTTCTCTTTTCATTTTGTCATTAAAGCACATTTGTAAAGGAGATATTAAGAAATTATACCCAGTGAAAAGGCACTACAAGGGCCCCACTGGTAGCAGTTTCAGAAACTGTTGCATGTCTGTGTCACTGGCAGACAGATTATATAATATTGTGTCCCTAGTCATTTCTTCATTTAGGATCAGTAGACTGTTCCTTTCTGCAAACTAATTAATAACCCATTGACCCAGCCCCCAGTCTACAATCCAAGCTGGAATTAACCCAGTTCTACTTTTCAGGCAGCACAAATGTCACATTCAGATCAAGAAAAGAACTGTAAGGTAATATGGTGACTGATGCTGTCTGTGCCGTAGTAGTGGCTTTTACCCACTTGATAATACCAAGAACCCCTTATTCAGCTTTGACTAGTTTGTTATCGTACCTTCTGGCACAATTCGACAACACTCTGTACTAGGCCAGTATAGTGTTATCTGTTGTAAATTTAGAGCTAATCCACTCCTTTCATTTTCTTGGTGCAAGGTATTGTTGTTTTCTCTTTTTACTTTTTTGGCTTCAGGTTGCTGTATGAACCCGTGACCACTCCCTGCGGGCACTCATATTGCCTAAAGTGTCTTGAACGATGCCTTGACCACAACCCAAAGTGTCCATTGTGCAAAGAAGACTTGTGTGAGGTTGGTTTAAAACTTATATTTCTATGAATGTGTATAGGTTAATTTAAGGCTTTTAAACCCCACAAGAGTGACCTGCTGATGGCTGAAGCTAGTCTCTTACGCTAGGTGCACATCTGCGCAGTTAATTTCCACTGCAGGAATGCACCTGTTCCCGCAGCCACAACCACTCACAGAAAAAAACCACAGGAGATGTGTGCAGGTGCCATTAATCCTAATGGAATGCTGCATGCACTGGAAATTGCTCCCACACTGCACTTGCAGTTCCTGTGCGGGCTGCAATTTCTAAAATGCTGCAATGACTTTTTTTCCTGTGTTTTTCAGGAGACACGGCAGCTCATTCAAATGAATGGACTGTTGCTCCCACGCAAAGCACGGCACGCAGAGCCAATTAGATGTGAACCTAGCCTTACATTTATTTTAGAGAATATATGATCGCAACCCCAAAATAACTATCTGTTCATCTTTATGAAAATCCTTTCAGCAAAGGCCCTGTCCCTTTAAAACAGTTAAACCAACTGTCAGTTTCTCTGAATTTAATGAAGAGCTAAACTCAAAAATTTAAAGCGGAATGAAACCCATCAATTTAAGTGTCAAAAAACAGCTAGGAATGCTAACTGACACATTTGCTTGTGCTGTCAACCAAACTGTCAAACCATCAAATAGTTGGTGTCATAACTGATCACATGTGCAGCATCATGGCAGTTGCAGATCAAACAGAGGCTAAGATGGCAGCTTCCTTGACTGAAATGGATAGGAGGGTTTAGTTCCATTTTAATTGTTTTCCCATAATTGTTATATTCAAGGAATGCTGTAACCATGCGAGGCATGGTTCACATCAGACAGTGCTTCTTGAAACCAGTAAACCCAAAACAGGTGTGTGTTTTTTAAGGGCAGGACAGCTGTCAGCAACACATCCAATATCATCACACTGATTGGAGTCAAGGTTGGCTCACTCCTGGCTCCAATTAGCTCTGGGAGAAGTCATTAAGCTAGGGCCTCACATACTTTTTCCTCCCTGCACTGTGAATGTTTACATGTTATGTGCAATTAAACCATGGCAACATCTAATGTTTGTGTAGTATTATGTTCAGCAAACTGTGTTCTTCTATTGTTGTGGCTTAGATGACGTTCAGAGCACATTTTATGCCCAATTCATGCAATGAAGGGGTTCACATACTTTTTCTTGCAACTGTATGTGCAGGAACTTTAAGGTGAACAGGAATAGAGTTGGGAACTATAGCGAGGGCTTTCTGTTTGACACCCGGCCTTACCAATGACTAGGCTGTCACAATTGGGTAGACTGACCCTTTAAATGGAGCAATCTACCCATTGCTGCATGTGAGGTAGTTACAGATGAAAGTTTTTCTCTGTTCATCTCTGCATTATCAGATGTTTCAACACAATAAGCTGCCATTACTCTAGTTTAAGATTTACTAGAACTGGTGCACTCAGAATCTGGTGCAGCTGTGCATGTTAGCCATTCAGTTTCTAAATTCAGCTTGTTCAGTTAGGATTTGACAATAAAACCTGGAAGCTGATTGGTTTCTATGAAGAGCACCAGATTTTGCACCATGCAGTTTTAGTAATTAACCCTCATTATATAGGGTGAGTGCTGCAATGTTAGCCATATTGTGTGGCAATACCTACCAGTGTATGGTTACAGCTTCAGTAGATTCATAGGAGAGAGGAATGAATACTTTGTGGTCCTGTGCCATGCTGTCATAGAACATGTTTTGTGTGGTAGGGATTATATATACAAAAAAACAAACAAACCACTGAACTGCAGAGGGCGGCTACAGTTGACAGGAAGATTGAAAGGAAGTGATAGAAAAGCAACAGCATAAGCTCATGAAAAATATTTTTCTTTTATACAATCTCTACTGTTATTTAATACTCATTGTGTGCTTAAAGATATAGTTGTAGTCCTGTGCTTCATAGTCCTTGGTAAGTGTCATGAATTATCAGATATCTTCGATATATGTGCTTCAGGGAACAAAAAATGTATTCACCTAGGTGGATGCAGCATTAGTCCGATGATGCATCTGTTCTCCGACACTTCTAACGCTGAGAACTGAGCAATCAAAAATAGCTGATCACTCAGTTCTCAGCCATCAGTGAGCAGAAAGCGAGGGACTGTCTATCTTCAGCGCTTTGCTCTGCCCCTCCAGCTCTCACTAGAGCACTGGACTGTGGAGGGGGCCAGAGCACCTGGCTCAGGCTCTTAGCGGCTTGCTGAGAGGCTGAGCCAGCTGCCAGTCCAAGCATCTGGGTGGATCCTGTCCATATGTGACATCAGTCGACAGTGGGCTTTAGCCCACTATTGGCTGAAATTTGGTCACGGGTACAGAACCGACTGCACTCCTGCAATCTATAGAAGTACAGCCAAATAAGCTTTGGCAATACTTCACCTTTTATGGCTTTGACCTATTTAGAATTAGAAATCAGGACTGTGTATAGTATGTAGATGGCGCATTTGAACAATTTTGATTCAATGTGTGCATAAAAAACACATAAAATGCAAGTATGAATATATAGCTGACATCCGCAGTAAGGTTGTGTACTAACAGCCATGCTTATACTTGGGGCTGTAGTGTATATTGTTCTATCAATATTTGACTTGGTTTAATATACAAAAGTTGAATAGTAAAACTTTCCTTTGTGTGTATGGTTGATTTGTAACTCAAGGAGCCCAGTAACATGTAATGCACTCCCTCCAGCTGGTTGCTGACATCTTCAGTAGATTCTGCACTTTCCCTGTGACACTTAAAGTAATATTCAATTCCTGGCATTTGTTTAGCTTGACACATTGTGCACAATAAAATGAACATTCCCCAGTAAACTATTTTACAATTTGTTCCCCAGAATATGCAGTTACTCTACTCACGGTTGTGCTAATCTGAAGGCCACACGAATTTTGGAGGTCTTTAGCTGTTGACTCTGCAGACAGTTGGCGACTTCTGCGCACTGTGCGCTTCAGCATGTGCTGACTCTGCTCTGTCAGTTTGTGGCTGAGTTGTGTTTGTTTCCAGTTGCTTCCACTTTGTCATAATACCACTAACAGTTGATCGTGGTATATTTAGCAGCAAGGAAATTTTCATGGATGGACTTATTGCGCAGGTGGGAACCTATCACAGAATCTCGCTTGAATTCCCTGAGCTCCTGAGGGCGACCCATTCTTTCACAAATGTTTGTAGAAGCAGTCTGCATGCCTAGCTGTTTGATTTTATACACCTGTGGCCGTAGAAGGGATTGGAACACCTGAATCCAATGATTTGGAAGGGTGTGCCAATACTTTTGGCAATAGTGTATTTTAATTGGTGAAAGTGACATAGTTTTTGAAACTAAGGAGAGGGGGAGAGTTTCCAATAAGGAAATGACTGCTCTGGGTTTCAACAAAATGGCTGCCACCAGCAAGAAGAAATCCGGAGCAATGCTGCAGGCAATTTGCAGCACACACTAATTTTGGCAGAATAATTATTAATGTATGTTCTTTTGTAAAAGAACATTATTTATTTGTTACCAGTCTATTATGGCTAAAGTTTGACTTTAAATTAGCTGCTGAAAGTGCGTAAAAACTGAGAGTTTAATATAATTTTAATGCTAGCCTTCTGAACATGTTCAGATAGAAATGGTGCAGGCAGGTGTTGTGTCCTCACTTTGTGTGTGACTGGTTTGGCCCCTCTCATGGTTTCACCTCCACTGATTGTCACAAATGATATACTGCATACCCATGTTCCCCTATGTGCATAGAACATGAGTGCCGAAACCTGCTTGTAACAGTCATGCACAGTGCAGCCAAAGCAACCTTGGCAGAGAAGCACAGTTTCCAAAGAACAAAGGTATACCGCTCAGGCAAACAATCCAGATCAATCCCCGACAGATGCAGGCTCTGGCTCGCCACCACACACGATGCAATAGAAGAAGGGTCAGCCGCACACCGGAGGATAGATGAATATAGTGTGTATTTATTGATCCACAGGACACGCAAAACACCAGGACATGAATGCAGGACTTGTTAACGCGTTTCACACGATCTCGTGCTTAAACATAATGGTTATTATTAAGCACGAGCTTGTGTGAAACACGTTAACAGGTCCTGTATTCATGTCCTGGTGTTTTGTGTGTCCTATGAATAAATAGGTACATACTATATTCATCTATCCTCCAGTGTGCGGCTCACCCTTCTTCCTAGAGAAGCATTGTTTCCAGGGTCGTTGGAAGACTTTTTTTCTTATTTTAGGTTTTACTTTATAAAGCCAAAACCAGAGAAAATTGTATATACAGAGCTGTAAGAATAATGAAAATGCTACGTCTGTTAAATGAAGTGTATATCTATAATGACTGTAAAAGGTCCGTGTTTTTTATGTTGTGGGGTGAAAAGCAGGAACCACATACTGTCTGCTGACTGACAAGTTCCAAAGTGGTTTCCATTCTGTTTTATGTTTCTTTCAGTATCTGGCGGTGAGGAAGTTTTGTAAAACAGAGCTGATGGAAGATCTAATAGCTAAGTATTTCCCTGAGGAACTTAAAGAAAGGAAAACAATCTATGAGGAGGAGATCGCAGAGCTTTCAAAGTAAGTCGCACAAGGAACACAGACATGGCATTCTAAAAACATTTTGATGTTAACAAAATGTAATGTCTACAAGGAGCACATAATTGTCTCTATCACAGTTGAAGTCTCAGATGGGGTCTTTTTTTTCACTCAGTGTTCAAACTTGTTCAACAGCTTGTAATTACTGATTTGACTTCTAAGAAACAAAAAAAAAATGGAGCTGCTTCCATACAAACCAGCAAGATCTAATTTTTTTTGAACTCTAAGAATTACTCCCCCCTAAAAAAAAAAAAAAAAAAATACTGTATTAAAATATATTTTTCTTCTCTAATGCCAAGATAAAAAAAGCCCCTTTTTCTTATTTAAATCCATGGTCATGTGTTCTGTCAGATCCCAAGTCTTCATTGCACAGGAGGAGGGTCCTTCGTCAGATGTCATTCCTGGATAACATGGACACTTCCTTTTGGCTGTACAGCAGTGGGGTCCCTTCAGGCGCCTGCACAATGATGATGACCAGTAGTCCCCTAACCAAAAAGCAGAAGGAGTCCAAAACAAGGGTTCACAGTTGCAAGGGGGGGGGGGGATCGAGGAACATCTGTTCTCCAATCTCTTATCACTAATCAGATCCTGGCTGTGAAAGAGGAGCCGCTCGTGCACAGTGCAGGGGATGCAACAGGGTCCCACTGACCTCTGATGTTTATATAAACAGAAGCTGTCACTACACAATGCTATCTGGTCCTTCTAAGCCCTCATGTGATAGCAATAAAGTTAAGTAAAAAAAAATTTGTTCAAGTGTTTAAAATATAATAAAACAGAAAATGTGAGCCCACTCCCCCATGAGTGCACATACCTGAAAGTACGTACATCTATGAAGCATGTGCACAGCCCTTTGTACCACACACAATATACCTGCACACACATGAGTCAGAGAAATCATTCTATTATTATTATTATTATTATTATTATACAGTATTTATATAGCGCCAAAGGATTTGCTCAGCTCTGTACAATAGCCAGGGGGACAGAACATGAGACAATACAGTAACAATACAATACACGAGGGGTTTGAGGGCCCTGCTCTTTCGAGCTTACAATCTAGAACCATCATTTATGGTTAACTCTAAATTGTTAGGCTGTAGAGGTTTTCAAAGTGTCACTTATGTACAATTTTGGATGTAGTAGTTTTTTATGCTGTTTCAGGAGCACCCACCATTTTGAAAATTCACATATTTACCAAATTGTTTACTCAACAGTGTCCTTTTTTTTTTTTTTTTATCTACAAAAACATGGCGCTTGTTTAGGAAGGGGGTTTGGTAATTTTCAAGCAAATATGGACATCTTAACATGTTGAAGTAAAAAATGATAAATTGGCAATTTGCTCGGGCAGCAAAAGAGTTAACGATGAATTGTTAGAGTGGTAGTAAACTCCCTATGTTTATTTTTACCTATAGGTAAGCTTATAATAAAGGTTACCTGTGGGTAAAATGAATACCCGTGCCATTCCTTCAGAGTTCTGTGCCGTGCCCGGGGCTTCCGCGCACATGCACAGGAGTGATGTCTTCGCGGCTTGGCCAGTCAGATGGCTGTGATGCATACTAGCACTTTATAATATTATTTTGTTGCAGGAACAGACCTTTTATTTATTTTTTAAAGCTTTCCCACCACTTTAACAAACCGCTAATTACATGTCAAAACACATGCATGAATTGTGCTATCTACTAAAGGATGTCATTCTGTTTGGTCACTTTTTGTGATTCATACACCTGACCGGTATGTACAGGAAGGTTACTCTGCCTCTTCCCTGTCCCCAGCCTGTTGATTGAACATTGAAGGAACACCAAAACGCTTGAAGCCAAGTTCATTCTGATCTCTCCTCCTGTCGGCACATGTGCATGCTGCAGGATCTGATTGGCTTCCACTGTTGCCCCTCTCTGCCTGAGTGATGGTATACAGGGAATGGAAGAGGGGGATGATACCAAGAGTCAGGTGCTTATGGTAGCTACATATAAAACTACATTTAATTTTTGTAAAGGAAAACATGGCTGCTTTAAATGGTAGTATCTACCTGGAGTTCAGCTTTATTCTATGAAGATAAAGGAAAAAAATCTGATAGCCTTCTTTAGCTCCACATTTGCTTTACTTTTCCAAACTCCAGTTTGTATGTTAATTATATATAGAATATAACGCTTGCTCCATTTTTTTTTTTCATAAATCTCCTCCACTGTGCAAACTCCCCCTTAAGTTTGTGTGCTGTATTAGCCAACAGCAGTATTGAACATACTGTAACGTTATGATGTCCATTGGAATCATTTCATACACTTATCCAACCATTGTAGAACTGTGCAAACTACAAGCATCAATAAAAATACAAAGTGGTTTGATTGCAAAATAGTTCAAATAAAATGTGTGAAGACAGAAGTCAGTGCTTGAACCCAGTTTTATGTAATGTTGCATGTTTGGGTGTAAGTCTTAGGGCCAGAGATTTGCAGCTTTGACCCTCCTAGTTTATGTGAAGCCTGAAGTGGATCAATGCGGACATGTAAGAATAGATATGTAAGAATAGAGATTGTGAACAACAAACCCTAACTAGTGAGATTTTTTGGCTGATACTCAAAAGCAATTTTTACAGACCTTGCTTTTGAAAGGCTGAAATATGAATCTAAGCTTTCCTCTGTACATTTTAACACATTTCTCACAATGAATTTATTTTACAGTTGTGGCATGTAACATTTTTTAATGGTTATTTTGTTAGAGAACCAGTCATAGAAATGTTATCAGCAGGTCTTAACATTAAGACTAACCTCAATCATTTGTGTTTATTCTCTTTTACAAGCTTGAACAAAAATGTTCCTATATTTGTGTGTACCATGGCTTACCCCACAGTCCCATGCCCTCTGCACATATTTGAACCTTGCTATCGTTTGATGATTCGGAGATGTATGGAAACTGGAACAAAGCAATTTGGCATGTGCATTGGTGACTCTGTGAAAGGGTGAGCAAACTCAGCTCTATCTATCATATGTCTGTCTCTCTATCCTTCTCTCTGTCTCTAAGGGCTCATTTACACTTGCTTTAACTTCCACCTACTGCTTCAACATGCTTCCGTGATGCTTTTTTGAAGCTTTAATGAAGCTTGGCAAATTGTGTGTGTGTGTGTGTGTGTGTGTGTGTGTGTGTGCTGATTTTTCCATTCGATTTAAAGGGGCCCAGTAGAACCCCAGCTCAGCAGTACCCCCAGTCGGCAGATCCTCAGCTCCGTAGCATTCCTATTCAGCAGATCCTCAGCTCTGTAGCATCCCTATTTAGCAGATCAGCTCCGTAGCTCCGTAGCATCCTCAGCTATTCATTCAGCAGATCCTCAGCTCAGTAGCATCCCTATTCAGCAGATCCTCAGCTCCGTAGCATCCCTATTCAGCAGATCCTCAGCTCCGTAGCATCCCTATTCAGCAGATCCTCAGCTCAGCTCGTAGCATCCCTATTCAGCAGATCCTCAGCTCAGTAGCATCCCTATTCAGCAGATCCTCAGCTCAGTAGCATCCCTATTCAGCAGATCCTCCGCTCAGCTACCCTTGTCAGCATCCCTATTCAGCAGATCCTCAGCTCCGTAGCATCCCTATTGATGCAGATCTGTAACCCCCAGCTCTGCTGCTCTGGTTTGCTGTATCACCTCTCTTGTCCCCGCTCACATCCCGCTATATTGCTCCCACGCTGCGCAGCATGTGTGACATTACTAGTTTCTCCTGCACCAGTCCCCCAGTTTGCCGATTAAGTCCTCTCTCTCCAGTCCCCGCTCACCTTCTGCTATAGTGTTCCCATGTTGCACACCTTACAAAATTTCATGGAAAGCCTTCCTAGAAGAATGGAGGCTGTTATAGCCACAAAGTGGGGGGGAAGAGAGGGCTTAGTGGCAAGATGCCTATGATTTGGAATGGGATGTCTAGAAGCTCATCTAGGTATTATGGTCAAGTGTCCACAAACCTTTAAAGAGTTACTAAACCCACAACAGTAAAATCGACCTGTATGCAGTAAAGCACGCTTGTTATACTCACTGTGGAACCTAAGGGGGGTTAATCCTCTGCATTGTGAAAAAGGCTGTTTGATCCTTTCTTCTCTACTCCTGTTGAAATGTCCACCTGATACAGACCGAATCCATAGTCACATGCACATGCTCAGTTTGGTGTATGTTGCTAGAGAGGTTGTTTTTTTTTCTTGGGAGGGTGCATGTGATCAGCACAGGGCCGATCAGCACAGGGCCAATCAGCACTGTCCAGACAGAGGTCAGGGGTTCTGCATCCTCCTAGAGCAGAAAGAAAACCCCTCCTACAAGCTTTAACCAGTGCTCTGCTGAAGTCACAAGACTGTTCTAGCTGCTGATGAGAAAAGGTATTTAGCAGTTTATATTTACTAAAATCATTGCATTTCCATGTTCTGTGTACTGTGGGAGACCAGATATATTGAATGCAGGGTCCTGGGTTTAGTAACACTTTAACTGTATAGTGTATGAGTTAGAAATATATGTTATGTTACTTCTAAAAGCATAACCTGTTATCCAGTGATGAGGGAGACAGATTATACAGACAGAATAGCCTTTTCTATCATCTATATCAGTATTGCATTTATTTGCAATCTATTTTCCTCAGTAGTACACAGATTTTGAAAATTAAAAGTCCAAAGTGGCTCTACTCGCTTTAAATCTGGATGGAAATGTTTGCTTTTTGGTTTCCCATTATGGGATATCTCATGCCTGCAATTCCTCCAAAAACAAAGTGAAGCTGAGTAAAAGTCTCTCAAAAGCTGCAGGTGCTGCAAGCGAGCTTTGTCATAGTCTTCTATGGAGGCTTCAGAAATGCTTTGAAGCACCATTTAAGCAACACTGGGTATAACCATTTTATTTAGTGACAGGCGCATTGATTGGCATTCAGAGCACTTAAAAAAAAAAAAAAAAAAAAAAAAAAAAAGCTTGTTTGAAGCACATGTAAACAATCCCTTAGTTACATGATCATGAGCTTAGCAATTTTCTTCTGTTGCGCCACTATTTGCGCAAGGCTGCCATGGGAGAAAGAAATTTGCTGGAACCACTGAACACACTGCCCTGCACTATATTTTCCCTGGCTAAGATTTAAGGACATTAAGAAGGTAATATCTACAATTATGAATATTTATGTGGAGGGACAGTCAGGTGCAATAAATGGAGAATAAAAAGGGACCAGGTAGATCATTATGTTCAGGTATGTAGAAATAAGGTGAGAACATGTAGAAAATGCTAAATGAGAACTAAATTGACACTATTGGTCAAAAAGGCTACTTATCACAGTAATACACCAATAGTGAGCTTTACAAAGCAGAAAGAGTGGACTTGGGCTCTCAAGCCAGGATCCGGGGTCAATTGTTTTGTACCAGAGCAGCCTAGAATGCAGGATGTGCTGGCAAATGCAGAGGAAAATTGATAATAGGCAGGCACTTGGAGTGGTCAGCTGTGTTGTGCCGACTATGGATCAGGTCATTTTTATTTATTTTCTGTAAAGGAATCTAGGGTTTGTTTGTGGGCTCCTCTGTTTAGTATAGTTTCCACAGGATGATAACTATTCTCTAAGTGCATGGCTTTTTTTATTAACTGGCCAGGACCAGGTAATAATTTCACAAACCATTATGCATTGGCATTTATTGCAGATCGCAGTGGTAAACCGCAAGTCACAGCAAACCAGAAATCATATTGTCAGTTTATTTACCCCACAGTTTTCTACTAATAGAAACAGACTTCCATCTGATTGTTTTGTGTTACTAAAGGCTGTCTGTCTCTGTATTATCTGTGAAATATAAATCGGTATCTTATAATTATACACTCTAAATATTCACTGTGAAAATAACACTAAAAAGTCCCACTTTCACCCTTGAAAGTCCAAAACAATTATATAAACCTTTTCAGTGTCCGTAAAAATAAACACAACATAAAAACCCTAAATAAAGTCCAAAGAATTTTTCTCCAGTCTTTTTGATTTAAATTCACCGTGTGATTCCAATAATTGCCGTGTACCTCAAAACAAAGAAAACTCAATAGTGTATTATCCTAAATAAATAAAAAAAAATGTATAAATTCATGAATAATATAAAGTCAATCCAGAGAATTTCTAATTATTTCTGTGCAAAATAAAACCCACAAAAACATGAGAACACTTGTGATAGTGAAATACTCTGTGTACACATCTAAGTGGCGGAATCATATACCCTTACCCTAATAAAATAATAAACCAGCCTTAAATGAATCCAGAAAGGAATAGTGATCCACTGGGACCACAGGGATACCTTCTGATCCCAAAATGTTCACTCCAATACTCTTGCCTTCTTATTCTCCATGTTACTCATAGAAAGAAAAAATAACCAAATAGTGCAGTATGTTCCAATAATATAAAGATCCAAGCTTTAATGATTGTGCTTACATATAAAAAAAACCCTTAAAAACGCATATTATTCCCATAACGCTACCTCAAGCAGCTTCCTGGAACGCTAGAATGTGATAAACCACACTTAAGATGGCCTCAACGCCACTTCCGGTCTTCCGTCCCTTGATGCGTTTCGTCACTTTCTTGACTTCCTCATAGCGGGATTTTCGAAATTCTCTGGATTGACTTTATAATATTATTCCTGAATTTTATAAAAAAAAAAAAATTTTTTAAATTTATTTATTGGGGATAATACACGACTGAGTTTTATTTGTTTTGAGGTACACAACAATTATTGGAATTGCACGGTGAATTTAAATCAGAAATTGGAGAAAAATTCTTTGGACTTTATTTAGGGTTTTTAAGTTTTTTTTGTATATTTTTACGGACACTGAAAAGGTTTATATAATTGTCTCTGTATTATATTTGTTCTGTTTTGTTACATTCTTTTAATTATAATACAAATTATTATTATTATTAATATTCAGTATTTATAAAGCGCCAACAGTTCGCTCAGTGCTGTACATTACAAAGGGAGACGGAATATGCGACAGTACAATAACAATACAATGTGATACTCGAGAGTTTCGAGGGCCCTGCTCCTTCGAGCTTACAATCTAGGAGGGAGGGGATAGTGGTACAGGAGGAGATAGCTGTGGGGGATGGAGTGGTAGGAAGAGTGGAGCAGGTCGGCAATTAGCAGGGGGTGGGGTAGGCTTCCCTGAAGAGGTGGGTTTTCAGGGTGCGCCTAAAGGAGAGGAGAGTAGGTGATAGTCTGATGGGTTGGGGTAGGGAGTTCCAGAGGATGGGTGACACCCTGGAGAAATCCTGGAGACAGGCATGGGAGGAGGAGACCAGGGAACTAGAGAGAAGGAGGTCTTGTGATGAGCGGACTCTGCGTGTTGGGTGGTCCTTGGATATTAGGTCGGTGATGTAATTTGGGGCAGTATGGTGGACAGCTTTGTACGTCAGTGTTAGGATTTTGAATCTGATCCGTTGTACAATCGGAAGCCAGTGGAGGGATTGGCAGAGGGGGGTGGAACGGTTGGTAAGGTGAATGAGTCTGGCTGCCGTATTCAGGATCGACTGAAGAGGGGATAGCCTGTGACAAGGCAGGCCAGTGAGGAGGGAGTTGCAGTAATCGAGTCGTGATATGATGAGGGAGTGGATGAGCTGTTTAGTGGTTTCTGGAGTTAGGGACGTGCGGATTTTGACGATGTCGCGGAGGTGAGTCTGCACGAGTTTGTTAGTGATTGGACTCGGGGCTGGAAGGATAGGTTGGAGTCCAGAATGACACCAAGTACTCTGGCCTGCAGGGCGGGCATGATAGTGGCATTGTTGGACGTGATGGAGAAGTCAATGGGTGGTGTGCAGGCTGTGGGGAAGACTAGGAGCTCGGTTTTGGAGAGGTTCAGTTTAAGGAAGTGGAGCGACATCCAGTCTGATATGTCGCTCAGTAGGTGTGTGATTCGGGCGGAGACTGAGGGGGTGAGGTGGGGGGTTGAGAGATAGATTTGTGTGTCGTCGGCATAGAGGTGGTAGTTGAAGCTGCGAGAGTGTATGAGTTGGCCAAGGGAGGAGGTGTAGATGGAGAAGAGAAGGGGCCCGAGGACGGAGCCTTGAGGGACCCCAGCGGAGAGGGGGAGGTGGTAGCGTTATAGGTTACGCTGAAAGAGCGTTGTGATAGGAGGAGAGCCAGGAGAGAGCGGAATCTCTGGGGCCGAGGGAGTGTAGTTTTTTTTGAGGAGGAGGGGGTGGTTGACTGTGTCGAAGGCCGTGGAGAGGTCAAGGAGTAGGAGCACTGAATAGTGGCCATTAGCTTTGGCGGTTAGAAGGTCGTTGGAGATATTGGGATATTTTCAAATTAATTGATTGCTAGCTTCAATACATTTCCAATCAGAAGTTATGATTCCTCTTTCTAAATGACATGAAACACATCTGATTTGTCTAGGGTGTAAAGAATCACTTGAACTGACCATTTGATTTATTCCCTCTTCTAGATTTGCAGATTACGGGTGCATATTGGAGATCCGTAATGTAGAGTTCTTTTCAGATGGCCGTTCAGTTGTGGATAGTATTGGAAAAAGAAGGTTTAAAGTTATGCAGCACAGTCAAAGAGATGGTTATAAACACCGCTGATATTGAGTACATAGAGGATGAAAAGGTTAGTATTTACGAAAAAGTTATCTATGACTGGGTTCGCTGGCTGTATATGAAGAAATCTAATCATTATAACTAGAGATGAGCGAATTATTCAAAAATTCGATTCGGCTGATTCGCCGAATTCGCGGAATAAATTCGATTCGAGGCGAATATATTCGCTGCGAATTTAACGTGTAAAAAGGGTGTTTCTAGGCTTCAGAGAGCCTTTATATTAGTGCAGAACACTGTACCTTTAATTTAAATGCCCTTGGAGTCTGCTGGGGAAGAGAAATAATACTGTCAGTCAGTATGACATGCAGATGAGTGCCGTCGATCTTAGAATCACCGCACACTTCACTCATTTGGGCAGTCACGGGGCCAAAACCAGAGTGTGGAGCCACAGTGTGGCGGTGGAGGCAGCAGCAATGGGAGGCCATACAGCACCCTATGACAAAATGGAACCCACCAGCAGTGTGAGGAGACCTGAAAGTGGCACATGGCAGAGTGTGGCGATGGAGACAGCAGCAATGGGAGGCCGTACAGGGACCCATGACACACTCTGGACCTGGCAGCAGCATGAGGAGGCGGTACAGGGGCCCATGACAGATTACGGGCCTGGCAGCAGCATGAGGAGTCGGTACGGGGGCCCATGGCAGATTACGGGCCTGGCAGCAGCAAATGGGAGGCCGTACAGGGACCATGACACACTCTGGACCTGGCAGCAGCATGAGGAGGCGGTACAGGGGCCCATGACAGATTACGGGCCTGGCAGCAGCATGAGGAGTCGGTACGGGGGCCCATGGCAGATTACGGGCCTGGCAGCAGCAATGGGAGGCCATACAGCACCCTATGACAAAATGGAACCCACCAGCAGTGTGAGGAGACCTGAAAGTGGCACATGGCAGAGTGTGGCGATGGAGACAGCAGCAATGGGAGGCCGTACAGGGACCCATGACACACTCTGGACCTGGCAGCAGCATGAGGAGGCGGTACAGGGCCCATGACAGATTACGGGCCTGGCAGCAGCATGAGGAGTCGGTACGGGGGCCCATGGCAGATTACGGGCCTGGCAGCAGCAATGGGAGGCCCGTAATCTGCCAGCACCCTATGACAAAATGGAACCCACCAGCAGTGTGAGGAGACCTGAAAGTGGCACATGGCAGAGTGTGGCGATGGAGACAGCAGCAATGGGAGGCCGTACAGGGACCCATGACACACTCTGGACCTGGCAGCAGCATGAGGAGGCGGTACAGGGGCCCATGACAGATTACGGGCCTGGCAGCAGCATGAGGAGTCGGTACGGGGGCCCATGGCAGATTACGGGCCTGGCAGCAGCAATGGGAGGCCGTACAGGGACCCATGACACACTCTGGACCTGGCAGCAGCATGAGGAGGCGGTACAGGGGCCCATGACAGATTACGGGCCTGGCAGCAGCATGAGGAGTCGGTACGGGGGCCCATGGCAGATTACGGGCCTGGCAGCAGCAATGGGAGGCCGTACAGGGACCCATGACACACTCTGGACCTGGCAGCAGCATGAGGAGGGGCGGTACAGGGGCCCATGACAGATTACGGGCCTGGCAGCAGCATGAGGAGTCGGTACGGGGGCCCATGGCAGATTACGGGCCTGGCAGCAGCAATGGGAGGCCCATAATCTGCCAGCACCCTATGACAAAATGGAACCCACCAGCAGTGTGAGGAGACCTGAAAGTGGCACATGGCAGAGTGTGGCGATGGAGACAGCAGCAATGGGAGGCCGTACAGGGACCCATGACACACTCTGGACCTGGCAGCAGCAAGAGGAGGCGGTACAGGGGCCCATGGCAGAGTGGCGAAGCGTAAGCAGCTTAAATTGAAGGCCATACAGAGGCCTATGTTAAAAATAATAACATGTTTGGGGCATGATTCATGGCGGATTTAGTCAGTTGTGTCAGGAACTGGTGGTTTGAAATCCAGACTAATCCACGCCTGATTCATTTTCACAAACGTGAGTCTCTCCACACTTTGGGTGGACAGTCGTGTCCTCCGCGGAGTTACAATACCTCCTGCCGCACTAAACACGCGCTCTGATGCCACGCTACTGGCCGGGCATGACAGCCTTTCAAGGGCAAATTCAGCTAGTTTGGGCCAAAGGTCAAGTTTCGTTGCCCAGTAGTCAAGGGGATTGTCTACCTCGGTTGGCAGGGTGCTGTCCAAGTAGGCCCAAGCCTGTTGTTTGAGGTCCCTGCTCCAGGTCCACCTGATGCTGCTGCTGCTGCTGCGGCTGGTTAGTAGTTTCCTCACTGCGCTGGTGAAGAAAGCTACTCATCATCGACTGCAGACTGAGGCAGCCGCTGCTGGTGGAGCTGCCACTGCTCCTACCACCCCACCCCTCCCCTGCTGCCATGGCAGCGGAACGCGAGCGCACAGGGCCCACAGTGTCTGAGGATGGACGTTGGCGCAGAAAGGCAGAGACCAACTGACTACATAGGTGGTTTTTATAGTACGTTATTTTGGCCTCCCTCTCAGCAGGTGTGAAAAAGGGCCACCATTTTTGAACGGTAGCGAGGGTCCAACAAGGTGGACAGCCAAAAGTCATCCCTCTGTCTGATGGTTATTATTCGGCTGTCGCTACGCAAGCAACCGAGCATGCTATGGGCCATTTGTGCCAAGGAATGCGAGGGACTCCCTGCCTCCATCTCCACAGCATACTGCCACGGTGCGTCTGGGTCCTCTGTCTCCTCCTCCTCCTCTACCAGATGCTCCTGCTCCTCCACTCCTGTCCGCTGAGTAGAAAAACCACCCATTTCACTCAATAATTCCTGACACCAATGTCCTCCTCTACCTCCTCCTCTTCTTCCTGTCCTGCCCCCACAGGGGTCATGTGGCGTTGAGATCTGTGCGCCACGTCTACCGCACCCTGACCAGCCATTGTTAACAGCATTTGTTCCAGGACGTGCAACAGAGGAATGACGTCGTTCATCCCATAGTCCTGCCGACTCACGAATAGCGTGGCCTCCTCAAAGGGCCTGAGCAAGCGGCAGGTGTCACGCATGAGCTGCCAATGGCTGACATCTAAGTTACACAGGGGAGTACCTTTTATCCGCTTGTAACATCAGGAAATCGGTGATGGCCTTTCGCTGTTCGTAAAGGCGGTCTAACATATGTAGGGTTGAATTCCACCTTGTTGCAACGTCGCAGATCAGGCGATGCTGTGGAATTCCGTTCTGCCGCTGCAGCTCAAGGAGGGTGCTTTGCGGTGTAGGAATGGCTGAAATGCATGCAAAGTTTACGTGACATTTTAAAGGATGTCTTGGGATTTTAGGAACCGCTTGACAACCAGATTGAACACGTGAGCCATGCATGGCGCATGGCACAACCTTCCTTGACGCAGAGCACACACCATGTTCTTTCCGTTGTCGGTCAACATGGTTCCGATTTTCAGTTTGCGCGGAGACAGCCATCTGTCGATTTCTCTGTTCATTACACTCAGAAGTTCCTCCCCTGTGTGACTACGTTCGCCAAGGCATACCAGGTGCAGCACAGCGTGACACCGTTGCGCCCTGCACATGTGATATGCCGGTCGGGTAATGGGACTTGGCACGGGGGTGGCGGCTGAGGACACGGCGGAAGAAGAGGTGGTAGAGGCGGACATCTTTGCTGGACCAAGGACGTGCAAACGTGGGAGGCAAAAGTGGCGTGACCTGTCCAAGTTGCTGGTGCGGCTGTGCCGGCACCACGTTCACCCAGTGGGCCGTAAATGACATGTACTGTCCCTGACCGTAGTTACAGCTCCACACGTCGGCGCTGCCGTGCACTTTGGCAGAGACCGACATGCTCAAAGACTGGCCCACCATCTCTTCTACATGTGAATGCAGGGCTGGCACTGCCTTTTTGGCGAAGAAATGCCAGCTTGGCACTCTCCACCGCGGCTCGGCACAAGCCATCATTTCTCGGAAAGGTGCTGAGTCCCACCACTTGGAAAGGGAGGGACTGCAGCACCAGCAACTTGGACAGGAGGACGTTCAGCTTCTGCACCGTCGGGTGCGTGCTCGCAAACTGTTGTCTCTTGGAAACGGATTCCAAGAAAGACTGCTGACGGAATCCGTGAAGAGGAGTAGCAGGAGAAGGAGCATCTGAACGAGCGGAAGATGCCAACGAGCGACAACTCCCCTCAGCAGAGGTGTTGGAGCCTTGACTGGCTGATAGAGGGCGATTGACGTCGGGTGACGGAGCAAGTAACGGAGCGGGTGATGAGCGGGGGCTGGGGCAGGCAGAACCGCCGTATCTTTATCACGGTTTTCCCAGGCCACCGAATGGCGACACTGCATATGCTGACGCAACGCTGTAGTCCCAACATGGGCCCCCTGGCCACGCTTGACTTTCTGGCCACATAGTCGACATACGGCTACGTTTACTTCCTCGGGCGGCTTGACGAAAAATTGCCACACCGCCGAGTAGGAAACTTTGCCCCCGCTACTCCTCACTGGCTGACTGCTACTTCCTCCGTGCACACCGGCACCACTACTGGCCGTGGTGGTAGGCTGCAGTGGAGCTGGTGCTCTACTCCGTGGCTGTTTGCCTCCACTGACACTGCTGCGACCCTGCTGCCTCCTGGGCAACCCACCGACTGTTTTGCTCGCTGCCAAGCTGGCACCCTCTTCTCCTGATGATGCGGAAGCAATAGCCTGATGACGACGAGGCTGCCAAGTGCGATCAGCCTCATCATCATCAATTAGGGTCTCCGCGTCACTACTAGCCCCCTCGGCTGCGTGTGGGTCAGGAGACAGACCTGTCTCTAGACCGGCTACCGAGCCACTCTCCTCGCCAGTACTTCTTCGCCTGGCTGCTGAAGAGGCGGATGTCTCCCCCCGTTCCTGACCGCCCTCTGTTAGCTCTTCCTCACTGTACAGTGGGGCTGAGCCCACAGCATGCGATACTTCGCTTGGTGAGGGAACACCAAAGGACAGGGGCAGGTAGAGGACACGTGATTTCAGTGGGCTTGCTCCCGGCCATGCCAACTAACGGTTGTGTCTGACGTACCCACCGACCGTTGGCTGTAGGTGTCAGAGGTGACCTAGGAAGAGGAAGATGACCGAGCCAACCAATCGATGACGGCAGGGTTGTCGGTGGAGACACGACCGCTGGATGACACCGGGAGCACTGGCCTCTGGCTGCGACTAGTGCTGCCTCGACCCCTTCCTCTGCTGCCACGTCTGCTCGCTCCTGAAACATTGCCTCCTCTGCCACTCCTCTGCGTGTTGTCTGACATACTCTTTAATTCAACGATTCTGTGTCCCTGAGTAACGATTCTGTGTCTGTCCCTGAGTAACGATTCTGTGTCTGTCCCTGAGTAACGATTCTGTGTCTGTCCCTGAGTAACGATTCTGTGTCTGTCCCTGAGTAACGATTCTGTGTCTGTCCCTGAGTAACGATTCTGTGTCTGTCCCTGAGTAACGATTCTGTGTCTGTCCCTGAGTAACGATTCTGTGTCTGTCCCTGAGTAACGATTCTGTGTCTGTCCTGAGTAACGATTCTGTGTCCCTGAGTAACGATTCTGTGTCCCTAAAGTCTCTGTGGCCCTAACTCTGTCCCTAATACACAGAGGTCTGTCTCTCTTGAATGACCGGAGGCTAATGGAGAATTCTAAGATGGCCGCGATTTATAGCTCCACCATTACACAGTGCTGGCTGGCTGGCTGCTGATTGGCTAATGCGATCACATGTCATGAATGAATGCATTATGGGTCAGGCGCCTTGTCTGCGCGCCTTCCCAGAGATCCCCGCTCCGTCGCCACACATGTCGCCGCCATTTTTGGGAAAATTCAATTCGCGCATCCGAAGTTTGCTAATTTTCGGATTCGGATTTTTCCTGATCTTCGAAACGAATTCCACTTCGCCATGTTCGATTCTCTCATCTCTAATTATAACATAAACAGTCAGGTCTGTGGATGATCCTCTTTTATTAGTCATGCAGTTTTTAAATGTTAGAAGATATTCCATAAGGCCAGAATGGGAGCAATGAAGCAGTAGGTTATACTGTATTTCTTTTATTTCTGCTTCAGCTGCTATCTGTAAAATATTTGATGTGACTTCCAAGTTCCCAGGCTTCCTCTCCACAGCAACAAAGGTCTCCAATGTTACACCTCTACAGTTTTCAAATTTTATATACATGGCATGACTGTCCCAAAGTTGCACTGAAAATATTCTCATTGTGCCAGCGGCATGACTTGAGAACGAGAAGTGAGGGAAAATCTGACATCATTTGACCAGGCTTTTCACCCGTCAGTACTTCTTTTTGTATAACCAGAGTCCCTAAGCGATACACATGGCACAATTACAACATTTCTTGTATTCCCATTACAATTTATAAGAAAAAGGGGCTGACATTAAAGGATACTGTAGCAAGGGCTGACTGCTTCTAAATCATGGAGGATATATATTGCCAGCACACCATGAATCTTTATTATAAAGTCTAAATTTGAGGCCACACAGGACCCCCTTCGTCAGGCATGTGACCGGTGTTGTATAAATGAGCCCATTATTATTATTTTTTTTTTTTTGGCCACAGTAGGCTTTTTATACTGCTTTATTAATGGGTGCCATTGAGTACACACATGACTCCAAGATAGGTTCTAATAATCAGCCAAATCCCCTTTTGTTCTAGAACAGGTCTCCAAACTTTCTAAAGGGCTTTCTAGAGATTACAGCCCTTTAAGTTTTAGGGGATAGACTGTGGTCAGTGAGAGAATAAAGTGTTCTGGTATCAGTGGGAGTAAACAATGCCCCATCATTGGTATTAGGGGTAGTAATAGTGCTCCTTCATCAATGTCAATAGGAGGAATAGTGCCCCATAATTGTCATAAGGGGGAGTAACACCCTTCATTTCCATCAATGGAAGAAATGGTGTCCCATCATTTGGTATCAGTGGGAGGAATAGTGCAGTATTGTTGTTGTCAGTGGGAAGAATAGTGCAGCAGCGTTGGTGTCATTGGGAGGAATCTCGCGGCATCGTTGTTGTCAGTGGGAGGAATAGCACAGCATTGTTGGTGTCAGTGGGAGGAATAGTGTTCTATCATTGGAATCAAAGGGAGGAATATTGCCCCATCATTGGTATCAGTGGGAGGCATAGTGCCTCATCGTTGGTGTCAGTGGGAGGCATAGTGCCTCATCGTTGGTGTCAGTGGGAGGCATAGTGCCTCATCGTTGGTGTCAGTGGGAGGCATAGTGCCTCATCGTTGGTGTCAGTGGGAGGCATAGTGCCTCATCGTTGGTGCCAGTGGGAGGCATAGTGCCTCATCGTTGGTGCCAGTGGGAGGCATAGTGCCTCATCGTTGGTGCCAGTGGGAGGCATAGTGCCTCATCGTTGGTGCCAGTGGGAGGCATAGTGCCTCATCGTTGGTGCCAGTGGGAGGCATAGTGCCTCATCGTTGGTGCCAGTGGGAGGCATAGTGCCTCATCGTTGGTGCCAGTGGGAGGCATAGTGCCTCATCGTTGGTGCCAGTGAGAAGAATAGTGCCCCATCGTTGGTGCCAGTGAGAGGAATAATGCCCCATCGTTGGTGCCAGTGAGAGGAATAGTGCCCCAGCGTTGGTGTCAGTGAGAGGAATAGTGCCCCATCGTTGGTGCCAGTGAGAGGAATAATGCCCCATCGTTGGTGCCAGTGAGAGGAATAGTGCCCCAGCGTTGGTGTCAGTGAGAGGAGTGAGAGGAATAGTGCCCCATCGTTGGTGCCAGTGAGAGGAATAATGCCCCATCGTTGGGGCCAGTGAGAAGAATAGTGCCCCAGCGTTGGTGTCAGTGAGAGGAATAGTGCCCTATTGTGCAGACAGTGGGGGGAATAGTGCCAAGGGCCGGATAAAACAAAGGAAATGGCCACAGTTTGAAGACGCTGTTCTGGAAAATAAGCAAGATATCCTGGTACTGTTTTGAGGGATGCTACAATGTGATACCCAAAGCAATGGATGTGTTTGCAATCAGACTCTTATAATGTATACACATACAAACAACCAATGAAAAGATATTTTGTATGGGTAAAAGTTTGTGACTAAGCTCAATTTTAATATACAGAGTATTCAGAATGTGATTTTGAGCAATAAAAAACATTTGTTTTCTAGGTTACAGAAGAAGTTTATGCAGAACTTCGTGTACTGCACAATGCTGTGTATGATCAGGCATACAACTGGTTCAGTACTCTGAAACTAGCATTGAAAACTCGAATCTTGAGTCATTTTGGTCCTATGCCAGCTAAGGATGCTGATTTACAGGTACATTTTTAAATAACGGTTTTGACGGTTGTTATGAAAAAAAAAAATAAGTACACCTTCTCTTTTTTTTTTTTTTTTTTTTTGGAATGTTAATTTGAAGGGCATCATGCTCAGCTGGCTGTAGCTATCAGACATCAGTACTTTGGTTGAGATATTGACCTGGAACAAGCATGAAGATAAGAAATGTCTGAGCGAAATCCAAGCTCCATATGACCAGAATGACAGCACGGAAACTAGTATTTCCAGAAGTGGGGTCAGCAGTGGCAGCTTCTTTACATCATTTAGTATAGGCTTCCTTTATGAACTGTTATTACACAACCTTTAAGTTGAACTGGAGGGTGCTTACAGGGCCTCCAAAAAGCTGCTCAATGGAGTTAATTTAGCTTAATTTGTGCTTTTCTGAACCTGATGCTCTTCACTGCATCATTTCCAAGCAAAGATTAAATAAATGGCATATGCGCTTAGCCTTGTATACTTGAACTGATTGACTCAATGACTGCCAATTACAGATGTATTTGCGTGGGGAGGGGGGTTAGAGATTAGGCATGGCCTACTTTTGATTCACCATTTCATCGATGTTTGCAGTTGCCTAATAGCTGCAAGTACAGGAAACTAATTACTGCAATTAGGTGAAATAATCTATGTATGCATTCTATTCTCTCTTCAATCCTATTTCAATCTTTTCTTCATCTGTACTTACTAAAAGATAAGAATGATACCATGATACAATGTGTTTCACTACATTGACAGCCCTGGAACGTAAAGTATTGTGATATGAGGTTGGGAACATCAGCTAGCCAAATTGGTAAAAGTAATGAGTCTTTTTATTTTGAAAAACACACAAAAATGGCTTTCTTCAGCAAAACAAGTAAACGGTCCACATTTCTTGCACAACAGAATTACATAGCAGGCTCCCCGCCAACCTCTTGATCCCACACCAAGATTAGGGTTCCTTTTTGTTAAGGGTGCCGGACAGGCCACAGGGGTTCAGAAACCAGCCTCTGTTTGCCAGAGAGCTACTTGCAGCATGGGAGCCTCTCTCTCCCCTCTACCTAATTCACAGAGGGGATGATTTCCCTCTGCTGCCTTCCAAGTCTCCCTTGCCTGGGGCTTAACCCCTTCGGGACCAGAGTCCTAGTAGTCAGAGTTTGGAGGTTCTTCCCACCCAAAACCCTTTGCACTTGAATGACAGCCCCACACGTTTCCTCACAGCAGTGTGGTTTCACTGCGGGTAATAGTGGGTGCAGGAATCGCTGCAATACTGGCAGCTACCTGCATAGGTGTGAACCAAGCCTTAGGGAGGAAATGGGGGGGAGGGGATGACTGAAAGGGGCACAGTAATGGGAGGAGGGATGTGATTACCAGGGGCACTGTAATATAAAAGGGACTGCACTGTAATGGGGTACTGTAATCATTACTGTGCAGTCCCCTTTACATAACAGTGCCCCCTTTAAAGTGCAGTCCCTGATACATTATTATAAAAGGGCACTGTGGTGTAAAGGGGACTGCATAGTAATGTAAAGGGGGGGGGTGATGTGAAGGAGAACTGAGGACACTGTGGGACGGCTTTAAAGGGGGAACTGTGATGTAAATGGGGCAGTGGACACTGATATAAAGGGGGATTGTGCTATAAATGGGGGTTGTAGTGTGAAGAGGGGCTGAGAACAAACTGAGTCATGTTACTGTCAAACTGATGTTACTGTCAAACTGAGACTAACCTAAGGCCTTATATACACACTATATTGTGAAAAGTATTGGGACGCCTGCCTTTACACACACATGAACTTTATTGGCATCTCAGTCTTAGTCCGTAGGGTTCAATATTGAGTTGGCCCCGCCCTTTGCAGCTATAACAGCTTCAACTCTTCTGGGAAGGCTGTCCACAAGGTTTAGGAGTGTGTCTATGGGAATGTTTGACCATTCTTCCAGAAGAGCATTTCTGAGGTCAGGGACTGATGTCGGAAGATAAAGCCCGGCTCGCAGTCTCCGCTCTAATTCATCCAAAAGGTGTTCTATTGGGTTTAGATCAGAATTCTGTGCAGGTCAGTTAAGTTCCTCCACCCCAAACTCTCTCATCCATGTCATTATGGACCTTGCTTTGTGCACCGTCATGTTGGAACAGGAAGGGGCCATCCCCAAACTGTTCCCACAAAGTTGGGAGCATGTCTTGGTATGCTGACACCTTAAGAGTTCCCTTCACTGGAACTAAGGGGCCAAGCCTAACCCCTGAAAAACAACCCCACACCATAATCCCCCCTCCACCAAACATTACTGACTTGGCACAGTGCAGTCAGGCAAGTACCATTCTCCTGGACACGTCCATCGGATTGCCAGGCAGAGAAGTGTCATTCGTCACTCCAGAGAACACGTCTCCACCGCTCTAGAGTCCAGTGGCTGCGTACTTTACACCACTGCACCCGACACTTTGCATTGCACTTGGTGATGTAAGGCTTGGATGCAGCTGCTCGGCCATGGAAACCCATTCCATGAAGCTCTCTATGCACTCGTGTTGTGCTAATCTGAAGGACACACGAAATTTGGAGGTATTTAGCTGTTGACTCTGCAAACAGTTGGCGACTTCTGCACACTGTGCACTTCAGCATGTGCTGACTCCGCTCTGTTATTTTTCTTGGCTGAGTTGCTGTTATTCCCAGTTGCTTTCACTTTGTTATAATACCACTATAAGTTGAGTGTGGAATATTTAGTAGCAAGGAAAATGGATGGACTTATTGCACAGGTGACAATCTATCACGGTACCACGCTTGAATTCACTGAGCTCCTGAGAGTGACCCATTCTTTCACAAATGTTTGTAGAAGCAGTCTGCATGCTTAGGTGCTTGATTTTATACACCTGTGGCCATGGAGGTGATGGGACACCCCTCCAAATCATTGGATTCAGGTGTTCCAAATACTTATGGCAATATAGTGTATCATAGTCCTTAACCTCCCTGGAGGTATTCCCGAGTGTAGCTCAGGTTAAAGTTTCAGTACCACAAGCGGTAACCCCGAGCTACACTCGGGCTTACCATGCAGCGTTGCTCCGGGATCTGTTCTCTAACCTTGTCCTGCGCTCCTGCGATGTCCCTCCTGCAGTGTCCCCTGTAATGTCCTCCGGCGAATGCCGGCATCTGTCTTCTGGGTTCCGTCCCCTGCGACGTCAGGACGTACGGGGGATGGATCGGCGGGAAATTTGAAAATGACAAAAAGTGACATTCACTAAATTCACATAATATAACATTACTGTATCAAACAATTTCACATACATTTTGTCCCTAGTGCTTTGTCCTGTGCCCTGCCTACATTTTTGCTGTTCTTTCTGCATGGAAACTGAGAAATGTCCATGGTGTCCAAAAAGTGTCCCTTTTAGGTCAAAATTGGTTTTAGACCGGCTAGAGAACAGCGATAGTAAATTAGAACCACTTGCAGAATTGAGTGATAATGATTTGTGGGGGAAATTCGTCATCAGACACTGAAAATAATTTTGTGACTTTGCTCAGTGATGTGTGAACTTGGCGCTATATTTCAAATTTCAGTCTTTTTGGTTTGATTATATTATTGAATTAAATGTGTTATTATATTTTTTATGATTAAATTATAATTTATGATTTCGTGGTTCAAATTTTAACATACCCGGGATGTTTACTAGACTCTTGTTTGGACAGATTTCAGTGAGTTATTCCTAAAAATTACAGGCCTACAATAAAAAAATACATATTTCCATGCAAAAAATGTACCGCTTTGAGCACAGAAATATGGACATAATCAGACCGCTAGGGAGGTTAATGGTTTGCAGTTTGATGGGAAAGAGTCCTGCATTACTGCAGTTTTGATATGTTGACCTGCATATTGCGATTTTAAAAGCAGCTATATAAAATCCCCCAAACCTAATATATCTTTTCTAAAGTATATATTCTTGCATATGTGTAATGCTAGGTTCAAAACCTATGCAGTTTGCATTTGATCCGTTTCTGCGGTGCAATTTTGCTTTTTTTTTTTTTTTGTTTTGTTTTTTTCCTTTTCTTGTTACTACGCAGATTAAAACGCATCAAAAACGCAATCAATTGCACTACATGCTTTTCTGCAACGTCTCCATTGAAGTCTATAGAACCAAAAGCACAACTTTTTTGTGTTACAAAAAAAAAAAAAAAAAACAAAGTCCCTGACCCTTTCCAAAAAAACGCACTGGGTGAAAACGTGGAGATGTGAACGTGTCCCATAGGAAATCACGTTAAATGGACTGTAGTGCGTTCCTGCAAACGCTTAGGTGTGAACCTAGACTTCATGTATTTATTTGATGTAACTGTTTTCTAAAGAACTGTGTCAAGCAGTCTGTTTTACCCTCTGCAGCCAAAAATACTTCTCCTTGCATTCTCCAGCTGTCATTTTTCCTTTAAAAGTTTTTATCCAGTTGGTTGTTATAAAGCAGTACAGCCGCTTGAGATGATCTTCCCTCACATGCATGTAATTGGTTTAAAAAGGAGAAAACCCTCCATAAATACAAGATATGTAAAAAAGGATAAAAATAACACTGCGGCAAAACAGATGTTGATCCTATACCTACTGGAAAATTTTGCGCATACATGGGGTCCAAGGTCAGGGTTATTACATGGACCACCAACATCGTAAAACATAATCATTATTTTATATTTCAAACAAATTCTTAGTTGCAAGGTATTGGGATTGATTTACTAAAACTGGAGAGTGCAAATCTGGTGCAGCTCTGCATAGAAGCCAATCAGCTTCCAGGTTTTATTGTCAAACCCAATTGAACAAGCTGATTGGCTACCATGCACAGCTGCACAAGAATTTGCACTCTCCAGTGTTAGTAAATCAACCCTATTGTATTTTTGTTGAAGGTGTAACACTGCTTTAAATGGCACTAAATGATTTAGGACAAAGCATTGACTAGGAACATGTAGAAGAACCATGTGTTGTTGTAAACATAAAGGGAATTGTGTGCTTTTCAATGAAATGAGAAAATGAAATAACTTAATGTCATCATCCAAGCTTTTGTACTGTTCCTCCAGTGTTGCTGGACCTGGTGTAAAATAAAATAACCCAGTATTACTTTGACCACAGATGAGACAACCTAATACAGAGTTCAGGAGCCAGACAGTCCAGACTAGGAGCTGATAAACATGGGACCATATTGTCCAAAATCCAGTGCAAAGCCTAAATTGTTAGTGTTAAATAATTTTTATGTAGATTTTTATGAACTCCTATTTTTTTTTTTTTTCTAGGTAAACCCCAATGGCCCTGCATGGTGCTGGTGGATTCTCGCTGTTCTTCCTCTTGAGAGCAGGGCACAGCTCCCTTTTCTCGCAATGACATCACTTAAAGATCGCTTAACTAGCATTCGGCGTGTCCTCCTGTTTATGTGTCGTACACGACCACGATAATGACATTGTACGCATTGCATTCCATCTGACAAATACACAGTGCACATACCAGAAATGTATGTCACATCGCAAGGTTTTCAGCCTTGCAAATTAATTTATTGTTAATGGTTTATTTTTCTTTACATTTTTTTTTTTTTTTTTTCAACTACTGAATGACAAAAAATCCTGGATGCCTTTTATATGAAATGTAGTATACACATATTTTCGTTGGAGCTTTCCATTTTGATAAAGTTTTGTTATACAAAAAGATCTGCGTTTTTACAGAGCTGTACAGATTTGTGATCATCCGTAATGCATAATTTATTTTTCATGACCATTTCCTCTGCTTTTTGTGCTTGATTCATTGTTTAAAAAAAAGAAAGCAAAGAAAAAAAAATGTTGTTTGGTCTTTTTTTTATATATATATTTTTTTTTAATTTATAACAAAAAATGGCATAACACAGAAAAATGTGGAAATAGCTATCTCAATGTGTTTACATACATGTGATTGCATAAAGGGACTGTATAGCCAAAATATATCTTTATGTTTTGGATAGAGTAGGCAAAGATTTAAAACAGTCTAAAAAATTAGTTCATTTTTTTTTTTTTTATAGTCACACCCATGTTGTACTTGTGATTGCATAAAGCAAATGTATAGCCAAAACAATTTCTTTGTTGTTGTGGATAGAGTAAGCAAGGATTAGAACCGTGTCATGTGAGTGTTTTTGTTTTAGCAAGAAGGTAGATTCACTCTTTTTTTTCATAATGACCAATATAACCAAAACAGTTTTTTGGTGAATTCAAAAATTTACACTTGTCACCAGAACAAGGAGTGACATTAAATCCTATCCAGTCACCTCTTCCAGTGACAAATGTCCAAGAGGGGAATTCCCTTAACTTTTTAAAGATTTCCTTTCAATTCCTGTTGCATCTGTAGGACAGAAGTGTAGGATAATATCCACAATGGGAGACAAACATTGGGGGGGGGAAACTTGCAGCGGTGTTAACCCTTCCCTTCTCTGTCCAAAACGAACAAAAAAATGTTTTGGCTGCACATACACATTAAGCAATTGAAGACCAGGCCTATTCTGACACTTCTCTTTTATGTGTAAAAAAATCAGTATTTTTTTTTGTTAGAAAATGTACTTAGAACCTTATATATTTAGCAGAGGTCCTAGAGAATAAAATGGTGGTTGTTGCAATTTTTAATTTTTTTTTATGCCACACTCTTTGCGCAGCAGTTTTTCAAACTAATTTTTTTTAATACACTTTAATGAATTTTAATGCAAAAAAACACAATATATAACCCAATATTTTGAAAGGATATAAAAGATGATGTTAAGCCAAATAAATAGACACCTAACATGTCACACTTCAAAATTTGTGATCGCTTGTGAAATGGAAACAAACTACGATGCCTGCAAAATCTCCATAGGCGATGCTTTAAAACTTTTTACAGGTTACTAGTTTTAGAGTTACAAAGTATCACCCCCCAGAATAGTAATGTTACTAAGTTATGTTAAAAAATAAAAACAAAATTTTTTAAATTACAAAATGGGGAAAAAAAAAAAAAAAAAAAAAAAAAAAATATAATATATATATAAATATAAATATATATATATATATATACACACACACACATACACAGTTGTGTTCAAAATAATAGCAGTCAGGCATCACTAACCTGATCAATCACTGTTTTTGGTAGAAATGATATTTCTACATGGCAAATAATTTACTAGCAGGTGTAGTAGAGTAATAGAAATCCAACAGTCATGACATGCATGCTGCTGATTCTGTGTAATTGAATCACTAATTGAAAGGGGCATGTTCAAAATAATAGCAGTGTGGAGTTCTATTAGTGAGGTCATTCATTCTTTGAAAAACAGGTGGCAATTATTGCCCTTATTTAAGGAAGGAAGGCAGCAAATGTTGTACATGCTGGTTACAGTGCATTTCTCTCTGAAATTCTGAGGAAAATGGGTCGTTCCAGACATTGTTCAGAAAAACAGCGTACCTTGATTTAAAAGTTGATTGGAGAGGGGAAAACATATAAAGAAGTGTAGAAAATGATAGGCTGCTCAGCTAAAATGATCGCAAATGCTTTAAAATGGCAACCAAAACCTGAAAGACGTGGAAGAAAGCGAAAAACTACTATTCGAATGGATAGAAGAATAGCCAAAATGGCAAGGACTCAGCCAACAATCAGCTCCAGGAAGATCAAAGAAGGTGTAAAGTTCCCTGTGAGTACTGTTACAATTAGAAGACGCCTATGTGAAGCCAAGCTATCTGCAAGAAGCCCCCGCAAAGTCCCACTGTTGAAAAAAAGACGTGCTGAAGAAGTTACAATTTTCCAAGAGCACATTGACTGACCTAAAGAGAAATGGCGCAACATTTTGTGGACTGATGAAAGTAAGATTGTTCTTTTTGGGTCTAGTGGCCGGAGACAGTTTGTCAGCCGACCCCCAAACACTGAATTCAAGCCACAGTACACTGTGAAGACAGTGAAGCATGGTTGCACAAGCATCATGATATGGAGATGTTTTCTCATACTACGGTGTTGGGCCTATTTATTGCATACCAGGAATCATGGATCAGTTTGAATACATCAGAATACTTGAAGAGGTCATGCTGCCTTATGCTGAAGAGGAAATGCCCTTGAAATGGGTGTTACAACAAGACAACAACCCCAACCACACCAGTAAACGGGCAACATCTTGGTTCCAGACCAACAAGATTGACGTTATGGAGTGGCCAGCCCAATCCCCGAATCTTAATCCAATAGAAAACTTGTGGGGTGACATCAAAAATGCAGTTTCTGAGGCAAAACCAAGAATTAGAGAAGAACTGTGGAATGTAGTCCAATCATCCTGGGCTGGAATACCTGTTCACAGGTGCCAGAAGTTGGTTGACTCCATACAACACAGATGTACAGCAGTTCTCAGAAACAGTGCTTATACAACGAAATATTCATTAAGTGATTCAAAGGAAAGCAAAATCTTCAAACATTTTTCAGTTTATATAGTGAATGTTTGAGTTTGTAAAGAAGAATACAAACAATGCTATTTTTTTGAACAATCTAATATTCACTTTTCTTCAATTTTTAATGTACACTTTTTGGGACTTTTTTTTTTTTTTTAATACCAAAAACGTAGCAGAACACATTTTGTCATAACTTTAGGCCAAAATTTAATTTTATTGGATATGTTTTATGACAGTAGAAAATATCGGGGTTCTTTTTTAAACTGTCATTTTATTTTTGTTTAGATCGCAAAAAATAAAAACCCAGTGGTGCACAAATACCACCAAAAGAAAGCTGTATTGGTGTGAAAAAACTGACAAAAGCTTAATTTGCGTAAAGTATTGCATAACCAAGCAATTGCCAGTTAAAGTAGGACCGTGCTGAATAGCAAAAAAAATGCCCTGGTCATGAAAGAGGTAAAGCCTTCCTGAGCTCAAGTGAATATTCAAAGCAAACTCCCCCATCCATCCCTGTCTCCATGCTTTATTTTGAGTGTTCACTTAATGAAAAAAAAAAAACTTACTGAGTGGATTATCAGGTGAAAATAAGCGAAAAAAAAAAAATGCTTATGGGCTAGTTCACACCAGATGCAGTTCAGTGCGCTTTTTTTTTTTCTGCATCAAAAATGCATGCACAGTGTTTTCCATCTATTCAATTGGCTCTAGTTCACACCAGTGCACTCAGTTCCAGCCAATTTCCAGTGCAGCTCCAAGGCGCGCAGCGAGGTGATCGGTGGTGCACTGTGTCCCTCGGACACAGTGTGGATCACAGATCAACTGAAAGAGCCGAAGACATCGGCCCTGTCATGTGATCATCTGTATCCAATCACAGCTGATCGCATGTAAATAAGGAAATGCCAGTTATCGGCATTTCTCTCCTCATGACCTGTCACTCTGACAGCTCGAGAAGAGAGGAGAACCGGTAATCGGCATTCCTCAGAGGGGACATGTACACTGATTATCAGGGCACTGATGATTAGTGTGCCCTGATGATCAGTGTAGTCCCATCAGTGCCACCCGTCAGTGCCACATCAATGCACTATATCAGTGCCTACCAGTGCACATCAATGCCACATAATGCCCATCTGAGCTGCCTTTCAGTGCCACCTATCAATGCCAGTTAGTGCCATATGAGTGCTGCCTTTCAGTGCCCATCAGTACCTCCTCATCAGTGCCCATCACTGCAGCCTCATTAGCGCACTTCAATGAAGGAAAAAAAAAATCACTTATTTACATTTTATAACAGAAACTAAGAAAAAACTTATTTGTTCAAAATTTTCAGTTGTTTTTGGTTTGTTTAGCAAAAAATAAAAAACCCAGAGGTGATTAAATACCACCAAGAGACAGCTCTATCTGTCTCAAAAAATGATAAAAATTTCATATGGTTACAGTGTTGCATGACCGCACAACTGTCATTCAAAGTGTGACAGCGCTGAAAGCTGGAAATTGGCCTGGACAGGAAGGGGGTATAAGTGCCCTGTAGGCAAGTGGTTAAATGATAAGTTCACCTTTGGGAACATGTTTCACGTGTTTTTAGGGTGGTATATGTAACATGTTTCAATAGCTGCAGCAGCCCCCTGCCCCTCCCCCCCTCCTCTGACAGATAGTACAGGGAAAAGTTTCCCCATATTATCTGTCAAATTTGAAAACAGCGTGGCAGTGCGGAGCTCCGCCCACATGGCTGCATCAATCATTCAGTTCTGTGAATGAGTGCCTGTAAGTCCCTACAGCCTTAGTGGCTGTGGGCTTGTAGTTTTCAATGAACTACCACACCACTGTGGAGCCCCGTGATAGTTCATTGAAGCTTCCTGTCAATATATCAATACATCCCGTAAGGCAAGCAGATATTCTGACAGGTCTGCAGGAGACCTGCACGGCATCAGCAATCTATTGATCACTGGTGCAATGCTTTCCAGTCTCCTTTGGACAAAAATAATAAATGCACATTTTTTTTACCTGCAAAAAAATATGCATTTATTATTTTTGTCCAAAAGGTGAAC